CCGAATAGTTTGACGGTTCCCATGTCAAGCGAATATCAAACCATTCCTAAAGATATCGTCGGAGGTGGACTGTGTCAGCCTCTACCCATAAAAAAACAAATAAGGAATAGAAAGTAAGAAGGCAACGTAGTTGTTACTATAATTAGTCACTTAGAGATATTCGATTTTAACTCTATAGAGGAAATTTCACTTACAGCACTGAACTCAAGTTGTACATAAACGGACTGAGATACTTGATCCTAAAAAATGACCTCATCAAAAATTACTCGCATGTATAAATATTTCAAATACACTAACAAGCTGCAGGAAACTCCCATTGATGAGCTCAAGAGACACCTTGAGATTCGACATGTTCCCATTGGCTTCAAGGTATTCACGAGCAGCTATGGATCTGTAATGAATGAAAGGAATTCCTTATAACTAGTTGCTAAGAAGTAGGTCTAGACTTGGACAGACTCTTACTTTCTCTTTTTTCCTCTTCCCTAACCCACAAATCCACTTTTCTACTCTTCTGGGATCCCTTGTCTGACTGCAGACGGAATCTGCTGTTTTATATTTTATAATAAAGGCCGGAATACTCTGCCTCAGTTTGCTGTATCCAGTCAAATTTATGAGTTGGAACTTTGTTTCTTCTATCAAAGCGGCCCACCCTGTGCACTCACTTTCGGTTTGAGTAGGTCCAACGTCTTTTTCGTAACCATTGAATATATGCTCGTAGATAAGTTGATTTGAAATAAGGAAGTCATGGTACTCACTGTGGATCTCTCCAAAATCAGCTGAAACTTCAATATGATATACTCTATGCATAAGAAGAATTGTTGTACTTCTATAGAACAGCTCGGGTAGCTTTCCTCACCGCTTACAAAAAGGGATAGGAACAAGATGGGCATCAAAGCTCCAAATGGCATGCCTCAGGTAAATCAATGAAGCTTTGCGGCTGTTCCATACCCAACCTCATACTACAACTCAATTTCCATTAGCTAAGCAAACAAGGATACCCGAGACTAAAAAACGAATCAACTAGAATTGGATTCTAATCGCTGCAGTGGCCTTGTGCTGAAACGTTATGAAAATAGTTATTCACTGGCTTTACATATCCTAGGATTGGGGGGGGTTGGACCAAGGCGCTATCGCCCCTAATAATCCTGGCCCCTTGTATTTTATTTATTCAGATGATTTGCTGTACTGTCAGCATCAGTCAGCCAAGGGGAACTTACGCAAAGCTGCTCAGCCTCCGATTTGTCACTCTTGGACGAGTTAACCTATAGAAATCAAACACGTATCTACAGCTGTGATACCTAGTAAGTAGGGAGGGAGGGAAGGTAAAAGAGCGATGGGGAAAATGTGTAAAATCCCAAAATCTGAAGTGAACATTGGATATCCGAAGACCAAAAAGTGAAACGAAGCTGTGGGGTTTCGACCTTCCCTAGGCTGAAATCAGCACATTCTCTTTTCCTTCGCTCCCTCCTTCCCATTCTACTCTGGATGCGTGGTCCCTTCACAGCGCACTTTGAACAAGTCAAACCCAACTATACCTTCGGTTACAGTTCGAATTCAACTCAATGACTCTCTTTTCTCTTCCGAAGTGGGCCGATTTCTTCTTCCCATTTTGACCTTCCCATCGGAATGCATCAGAAAGTGTTTAAACATTGCCTATGTGGTAGCATCCGGGTAACGGAACTTCTCCCCGATCACGGCATTCTCCCTTGCGGCATGCGGCAAATGTCTCTGTAACTACCGTACTCACCCCGCCTCCCCGCCAATCGATAGGACGCGATATTTTTCGTTGATTGCCTTGCTTTTTTATTAGATTTGATCGTTTTTTCTTCTGCTCCTTGTTCGTTTTCATGTTGATTAGACTTGATTAATTAAAATGACTCCTTCTATGTAAGCGACGATCAATACCGCATTGAAATTGAAGGGAGCGACCAGCCAATTCAAATGATTAAAGGACTCCCTACCTCACAAATTGCGCGCTCCAATCTTTCATCGCAATCCTGCGATAGGCGGCGGGTGCAGCGTGTGCGACGCCGTGTTAGGGGAGAAGTTCCCGGACCCGGTAGCATCCAGACAGTAGCGCCGGCCGGGAAGAGGACGGGAAGCCCGTAAATGATCACTTAGAGATCGAGCATAGGAAATCTGTATCTTGGCCGGCGTTGCAGCGATTTATTATTGCCTATCGCTAACCATGAACACTGCTTATATGGCGTAGCTACCATGGGTAGGATTGCTGTGCTTTCGGGCATATAGATACTAAAAACCGCCCAGCTGCCACAGTTCACACAGCAGACAAGAGAAACAACTTTTTGTGAACATCTTTATGCATCTACAAATTGCGATTTCTGTCGAAAAACCAAACTTTCTTTTTCGAATTTCTTTCAGTTGATACAATCTATCGTTTGTCCTTTGAACTTGGAGGCAAGATTCAAAGTTCCAATGTCGTAAGTTTTCTTCGGATATCGTCCACGTGTGATGAATTTGCTGGGAATGTCGAGGCTCAGTTTTTTGTAGCATGGCTGGAATAAAGGATCATTCAAACAGTGACTAGCATAAATCAAACCTCAAAAAAACCTAAATATTGCTGCTGAAATGTCTCTCGGTATAGCCAACTGTCGCTTTACAAGGCGCATTCTCAAAAAAGGTAGGGCTATGGTACCCGGTGACTTGGGTCTCTCTCGCAAAGGATCCCTATCTCATAAGGGATGTGAGTAACCCCGCTTCCACCTTATAGCCTAAAAATTATCCCTATTCACTGGATCCTTACGTCATGAAGTCGCATTTATTACTTTGCAGTACCACAGTTCTGAGAGCAATCTTTTAATTACTATTTACTTTTACCTACAAGCTCTGCGGCAGTACTTCGCCTACTTAATCGATTGATTGCTCTTGGCCAATCAGATGCCGAGTACGGGATCCGAGAGCGAATGGGACAATATAGACAGCGTCCCTAAAAATCTCTTCTCCCTGGAGAGTGAATTTATATGAATCAGAGGAGGGGATATCAACAGCATTAAATGAATACTACGCTATCAATCCCTGTCATTACAAATTACGTGGAGAGTGCCTTGAAAAATGAACAATTTGCCAGCAATTGTTACGGCTGCTTACCCCTTTATAGCCACATTTGTGGTAGATGTTGAGTTTCGGATCAATGTTGGTGATTTCATTCTTCGACCCCGAAAGTCGAAACCATCCACTGCCATCCGTTCTTGTTTCATCCAACTTCTTATCGAAAGCTATAATATGAGATTTTTGCCCAAAAAACAGATCAAAATTTCGATTAATTTCTCTATAGCAGGCTTATTGAATGATGGGTGACTACTACTTGAGCACGATATGAATATAATATTTTCAAAGTCATCTACCGATGATTTGACATTGCCAAACAGAGCTACAACGTCTCCTATAGGGACGATAAGCCGCGACAGCGGTGAAGAAGCTCAAAGATCAAGTGAAATTGAACGTCAAACCTGGGCTAACCCAAACTGGGAATGTGGGAATATATACCGAAATGGCGTGCCATGTTCATCAAGCCCTCCGCACGTCAGAGCGTGCAGCCTACGAGTTTCCACATGAGCGTATGCAACCGTAGGAATATAGCTACGAAATCCACCACCGTTCTACCGTCGGTCCTTTCTCCTGTAATGGCCGTGGCAGCGACTCGGATCAGCTGAATTCCAGCTTTCTCTGATGCACTTGTTGGCCATTATCTGTAGTTGGGGGTGGAGGGAAGGGGGGGGGNGGGGGGGGGGCACCCATTCAGAGGTTGTTGTGTTAAGAAATAAACTCAGCTTCACGTGTTCAGCTTATCCTTGTTATATTAGCACCATATCAGAAGCGAAGGGGATGAGATGCGTAAGGGAATAAAAGAAGGAAACATGCCCGCTTCAGTGCTCCTTCTCTCCCGAAGCTTATGGTTAGCCAAAAAACTGGTATACCTCGATACCTGCCATTCTCGGGGCTCCTCAATTCATGTCCTACATACTGGCGCAAGAAGTGCTCTCAAGCAGCAAACTTTCTGCCCGCTTCTAGAGCTTGTCNAGGTTGTTGTGTTAAAAAATAAACTCAGCTTTACGTGTTCAGCTTATCCTTGTTATATTAGCACCATATCAGAAGCGAAGGGGATGAGATGCGTAAGGGAATAAAAGAAGGAAACATGCCCGCTTCAGTGCTCCTTCTCTCCCGAAGCTTATGGTTAGCCAAAAAACTGGTATACCTCGATACCTGCCATTCTCGGGGCTCCTCAATTCATGTCCTACATACTGGCGCAAGAAGTGCTCTCAAGCAGCAAACTTTCTGCCCGCTTCTAGAGCTTGTCTTTAGAGTGTTTATGAATCAAATCCATTGACTCACTCATTTCTTTCTCATAGAGTTTCACCTTCACATTTGATGCCGGAACTCCATTACATTGAAGTCTGCCCGTAACTGCAACTGACTGCGTTCTGCCAATGCCAAAAAGACTGTCAGTGAGAGGCACAAAGGCGAGGAAGGCAAAGAGGATCGAATACATCTGAAAAACTAAGTCAACTTCAATCTGCTTATTTTGATATTTTCTCAAAGATCGTAGCTGAGGGAGCTCGCAAACTAATAAAAGCATACAACACCTGTCGAAGGCGTATAGAAGTATGTGTGGTGAGGCAGATACTGTATTGCTGAGAAGATTGCCAAGAATCCAGGAGTGATTCCCTTCTACAAGACAGTAATCGACCAAGTGGGAAGATTTCACCACTTGATTCAACAATTTCCTCCCACACTCTTATCCTAGGTTCTCAAAGTGGCTGTGCGGTCTCGCCGACCGGCTTGATATGCTCATTATCTACCTGAGCATTCATTTATATAGGATCAGCTTGTTTACAACAGAAAATGCTGGCTCAAGCTGTAAGGATCCTGCCTCCCCCTTATACTTCTACACGCCTTTGACAGGTGTCTGAATGTTCTGAAATCCTTATGGATGCCCGATGGCGGCGAAAATTAGGCAGGTCGTATGGGGAGCTTGCACAGGTGGGTATTGCAACGTGGGATGAACGCCAGGTCAGACTGATGACTATCATATCTGTCTCATACGCATTATTATAAGCCCCGTTAAAAATGAGTCCATGCTATTGTCGTTTTAGGCCCTGTACACACGCTTTCGCCACAATAGGATTATATTGTACAATAGAACAACCATAATACCAACCCCATTGAGATGGAATCTTCATAGGCTAGAGAACAGCATTTACTAAACAGTAGAGGAAGAGTTAGATATCAAAGCCACTTAGTGAGCTGGGACAGCATAGATGGATAATCATAATTCACAAATTTGAGGGCCAATTGAGTATGGGGTCTACAGTTTGACCAGTACACCAATTTTTATAACGACGCCTTTCTTTCGACGAGAAAACCCAGTCCCAATACACCCCAGATGGCTGCGACTGAGCAATGGCCAGACCAAGTTTGGAAATTTGCACGGCAGCAGGACAAAGGTACGGCAAGACGGTCAGCCACCAACAAAATTATATCATATAAATACATTCAATTTCGATCACTTTCACAAATGAGGGTGTAAAATATTAATAAATAAGACAAATTTGCAAGTGACCACCAACACTTTAGTAGACTATGCTACCAGTTGTCTGTCAGTAGTGAGCACGGCCACCTTTTATATGGTGCGTTCTTGACATTGCTCGGCTTAGCGCTGCTGACGCATCGATTAAAATATGCTTCAAACTTTTTTGTACTTCGAATTTGCATAGCTTATTCATGATTATTTCCAGTCATTGTGATTTTCAAAGTTTTTCGAAACCATCAGGCATGAAAGAGTGTTTTATAGCGATTTTCCCTACATGGAGCTTGGCTAGGGAGCAGATGGAACTATGAAGACCCTGTAGAAGCATTAGAGGAAGGGAGTATGAACTACTGGATTGTCTACCGAGTCTCGTGAAGATCTCTATACTACCACCCAGTGCTCCCGTCTGACCAACTTTGCGCATGATGACCCCAATGGCATCTCCTGGCTCCCACTGAGGCCTTGAAAACACCTGAATAGGACGTTTCATCATCATTAATGTTATAGCTGTATTCAAAATGAGAGAAAGAGCATTATCATGTCAATGTAATGTTGTCAGAATGAGAAAAACCTATTTATATGCGAAATAATCATGTGAATCATATGGGTACATACGTTCGGAAGACTATGATTGATCGCAAGGCTACAAGACGATAATGCAAATGTAAATGGAAGTTATCGATTTCAATATGATGCTGACACATCGTCTCTATTCAACTGAACATTTGAATAATACAAGCCCATGTCTTCCTACTGTGGTTGTGTCCAGAGAAATATCCCAAGAGAAAGAGCAATCAGTGGGATGATCTGGGTTCTATCACACTTAGAGGTTCAAAACCCTAGTCAACGCTCAACTAGCAATTCGAGATGAATCCTGTTTTCCTTGGTAGCCAATCTTCTGCCTTTCACTCTGCCGCAGCCATTGCTTCTCGTCTGTAGCAGTACCTATCGCTGTTGTTAATGGAGAGAGGTGATGGAAGAAATGAGCTGTGTTTATACTCGGCGAACTGTTAGCAGAACTAGTGGTAAGCATAGCCACCTGGGTTATCGGCTTCATTCTCTGTCGGAAAAGGTTCAGATTAATGCACGGAAGGGTAAACGATAGCGACCGTCTCAGTTTTGAACAGCTCCGAGTGACAGATTTGCGAGAGGTGCCAGGGGACGAGGAGGTGAGGAGAGAGTAATAACTGAACTGGAAAATGGAGTAAAAATGATTAAATTTTAGGGCAAAGTTGGGTCAATCACAGTTCATGGAAAAAGTAGTGCTTTGGACTACCGTCCGAGACCGTAAAAAGGCTATTTTAGGAAGAAGTTATGATCAAGCTGAATGGAGGCATTGTATGCAGTATTCTATCGAGACGAACCCCAGAGAACACTCCGCTGATGGTTGAGAGCGTTCTTAAATACAAAGGCCTAAATGCATCACTGATGTGCAGCATGTATTCTGTTGAAGCCAGCTCCAATGAATGCAACGCAAAAAAGTAAAGATAGGCCCATGACTCATCCCTTACATGGTTCATCCTTTTTCAGCAATTTCTGTAGACAATACTTGCGAACCACGCAAAGAAGAAAAAACCATTACTCATCCCATCCCTTATCGTTGGGTATGATATGTACCGTTAAACATGAACTCTTACCAAAGCAGATCTTCGCATTTTTTTGACTATTCGGAATTGTCACTTTTTCTTGCACTTTCTACCGAGTAGTAGTAGTGGTATAGCATAGTATAGTTCCTACTATTCACATGAGAAAAGCTGGCGGACCTACATAAGGCAACTATCCTTTCCACCAAGCAGTACTGCAGCTTCTTGAGGCTTCGGGATTTTGTTTGGATCCTTCAGGACATCACAACATCTGTACTTTCCAGCAGCATTCCCTTGTAGCCCTCGGCTATTAGCATGTATACTGCTTTTTCCAAGGGCGGAGGTGGTGTAGTGGCAAGTGTCGCACTATCACACACGCAGGTTACGGGTTCAAATCTCATATCCTCTTGAGCCAAATAAGCCTTCATCCCTTCGAGGCCGTTGATTGGTACCATACTCGCCTGGGAAGATAAAAACACTGACTTTTACATTGGCTCGCCACCATAAGTCATAGTACAGGCCACTTATGTATTCATTCTTCCACCGCGATTCTGAATGGAAGTCGAATGCGGGGGGTGCATACCTCAGGTGTGGGAGACGGTATGGGAAACCTATTTTTGTTTCTGTATTTCTTACTTGCTGCTGAATTCTGCTACACTCCTTCGCGCGCGGCGTCCCTCTTCCCGCGACGTGACAATTTCGATCCCACTGCACCACACCCCTCAGACGTGATCGAATGACGCCAGAAAGACTGTTATTCCTTTCCCCGGAAAAAAGCATACTTTGTATACAATTCTTTGCCTTTTCTACGTAGTCAATAGCTCATTAGTAGTCAGCTACCATCATGAAAATTAGGCCTTAGGCATGTACGAGAAGCCCCCTAGTCTGGAGATTGGCGCGGTGGCGGTATTTCTGAACCCAAGTAACAGTGTATTCGCAGTAATCGCCATACTTTGCACTAAAAATAGAAATGAAGCCCTTCACATTGCGATTGTGCATGCGTTCCGTGGTTCGGTACCATAGTTGCTGCGTTAGGGTAGAGTACCACGATGATCACTTAGCAGAACTTTGACAGCTCTCACTTTTTCTTTGCGAATTTTTTCATTTACATTTTTATTCTCGTTAATAAAAGATGTATACAAGCGAAGTCAATTATTATTGTACTAGACGTATTATCAACATACTGGACAAGTACGCGTATGTTTTAGCCTTTTCCAGGACGTTATGCTAGCATTGGCCATGAAGAAGCTGTAAGTTCCGCTGGGTCAGGGAACTCTACAAGAAACGGTGTAGCTTCAGTACGCTGCTGAGGCAGCAACATTCTGGAACACATAGGAGAATGCGGCCCCAAGACCTGAAATTCCCGCTCCAAGTGAGTCCCTGTTGAAACCTTTCCTCCCACTACCGGCTCTGACTCTGACTACCGGATCCATCTATACAGTCCACCGATGCGATTGTTACGGAAAGGGAGGGACATGGCATACGTAGCCGTGCGGCATCGCCCTTGCCGACACAGCCAATGCAACAGACAATCAAACCAAATTTTCTGATGAATTTTGTAAACATGCAACACTTGGATGAATAGAGAATAGCTTTATTAGCGGAAACCGAGTTGTTCGATTTCTTGGATCACTCTCGACGTTTTCAATTGATACAATCAATCGTTTCTCCTTTGAACTTGCTGGCAAGATTCAAAGTTCCAATGTTGTAAGTTTTCTTTGGATATCGTCCACTTGTGATGAATTTTTTAGGGATGTCGAGGCTCAGCTTTCTGTAGCACGGCTGTGATATGAAAAGAATAAAGTAGCAAAATGTACCGAATAGAATCTTAATCACTTGAAACTGCTATTAGAATTGAAGCATATGACTTAGTCTTACATTGCATGAAATAGGGAATTTACCAGTCACCTTTCTCTTCATATTCACTTTATGGATAAAGAAGTTATAACAAATTAATGTGGGCGGTATTTTCTCAAACGTACAAGATAAGTGGGGTGTCTTACTGTTAGTGACAGTTTGTCGTTACAATACAGCTGCTTACCCCGTGGTATGAGCACTTGTGGTAGATGTTGAGTTTCGGATCAATTCTGGTGATTTCTCGCTTTGATCCCGAAAGTCGAAACCATCCCGTGCTGTCCGTTCGTCCCTGATCCAACTTCTTATCGATAACTATAAGACGTCGTTTAAGTACATTTGGAATCTATGCAAATCACTTCAATGAATTTTTTAAAAGACACTTCACGATTCACGTTTTGCGCGATCTGTTTTTGCGGAAGGGGAAGCATATAGGTGCCAGAGAGGCGCAATGTAGCTTTGAAGCGGTTAAAATGATTCAAAGCTATGTAACTGTGGCTAAAAATTTGTCAAGAACGCCCACTCTTGCAGCCCCGCCCTCGAATGGACGAACGTGCGGCGCCATGGATCAGCTGATTTATCTGGCTGATCCATGGCTGTCGTCGCACGCTCTAAGCTCTATCCCGTGCACTACTTCATTTGTATGTCCCCGTTCAAAGGACCTCTTATTCTACCAATTTCACGAACGAAGGTCATTCAGCACCTGCGTTTTCCTGAACACCGTAATTGTCACTAGAGAGGGTGCCTACCGAGTAATATTCGCTGCATGGCTCTGAAGCTATTTCTTTCAAGAGCTGTTAGAATGGAATCTATTGACTCACGTACTCCTTTGTCATAGAGTTTCACCTTTACTTTTCTTGCCGGTTCTCCATTACACTCAAGTGTGCCTTGAACTGCGACCGATTGCATTCTGCCGATACCAAAAAGACCGTCACAGAGAGGCACAAGGAAGAGGAAGACAAAGCAGATAGGGAAGCAGATCATCTGAAAATTCGAGTTAAATTAATAGTAGTTCACTTTTGTTTTCCTTTTCGAAATATCTGAAACACTCAAACGTCAAGCGAGACTCATACAGGGGAATCAACTGGGAAACTTATCGCAGAGTATACGGTAGGAGAAAAGTGGTGAACGATAGCTGTCTAAAATTAACTTTTGGATATCCATTTCCAAGGAAGACACCATTGAACATTACAAAATCACAAATTGGGACACTCTGTGGCTTTACCCGTCTCCGCAGTTACTGTAGGTTTCTGAAAAGGCACTGAGAAGACTTGCCTAGCGGCCAACAACAACCTAAACAAGTAGTTAGGCAGGGCCTACATGACTCGAGAGAAGAAAAGCGCTGACCCTAACAATGCAAATAAATAAGTGACTCTAAATTATAAATATGATAGAAGCCGCTAAAGAGATGAAGATGAGGGGAGATTCTGTGTAAGAGCTCCGAACTTCGATGTATGATGGCTGCCAGAGTAGCAAATTAGGCCGCAATATCTGCCTCATAAACTTTTTATCAATCCAAAATTACGAAATGGAATTTTCCACTGTTGTTGTTTTGCCGCGTTATTCACAAGCTCCCTCCACAATATGGTGTCACTGGGCAATAGATTATCGACGACACCTGTCCCATTCAGATGGGTGGACAGAAAGGACAGAGGGCGTTTGTGGTGCTGTAGGATCGAAATTGTCGCGTCGCGACGAGAGGAAAGCCGCGCGCGAAGCAATGTAGTAGAGTGCAGCGGCAGATCAGAAATACAGGAACAAAAAAAGAGAATGGCTCGCGCAGCCGCATGCGGCGAATCGATTAGACAAAACCGATCCTACTGCTCGTCTCCCACATAGGGCCACAGGGGGAGAGGGGCAGTAGGAACGGTTTTGTGCAATCGATCCGCTGCATGCAGCTGTCGCGGACCAGTCGCCTCGTTATTACAGTTCTAGCGTTCTTCATACAGCTCAATCGCTATGCGATTATTACTTATGTCATGATTCTACTGTCAGTTCTTTTGTTCCTGGATTCTTACTTGCTGCTGCATTCTGCTACATTCCTTCGTGCGCGGCGTCTCGCTCGCCGCGACGCGACAATTTCGTTCCTACTGCATCGCACCCAGGCCGCAGGTTGTGCACCACAAAGTGTTCGGTGGGATAAACAGGTGAATGGTCAAAAAATGGACAACTTAAGAATTTCATACAATGGATTTTGAATAAGTTCAATATATGATATACAGAGTAAGTAGAAAGGATCAACGGTTGTCCAGAGATGCTCCTTTCATCTATGAATGGAAGATCAATACGGATGAAAAAGAATGCGCTCACTCTATGAAACACTCCTTTACCATATCTATCCATCGTACCTTACGCAGTTGAATTACGATATACAAATATTTGCCACAAGCTCTACGCCATTACAGAAGGACCCGTATAGCGAGAAGGTCATTTAAACGAGAGATAGGTAGAATGATGGTGAAGACGTCAAAATAATGTATGAAGTAGCAGCCACGGAAGGGGACGGGTAAGGGTGTCTGGCTCAATCCACCATTCGGTGGAGAATCCATGTTTTCATGCCTGCAAACTTGCTGAACAATGAATAACCAGCTTCAAAATTGTGCTCATAGAAAGTCAACATTTTCCGCCCTCTTTTTATAATCGTCGGCCGGGTTATAAAGGGAATTGCTCATTAAAATTCTCGTGAACGGTTTGAAAAACCTGAACCCTTTAACTGACACCAACGCCGACATTGTAAAAGGGAACGCAAGATGAGAGGTATCCATGGGATCAATCTTGGGGTACCAAGCGGTAGGCCCAATCTCCGAGCCTGGGACCGAGTTGAGCTCAAGGCTTAAGGTGTTAAGCTCAAAAGGAAGAACTGTAGCCTAGATTTCGGCTCATCTTCGTCTCTAGTGTTCCGTACTGCGTATGGTGAGGAGGGAATTCTGGACAAAGCGCCTTCGATGCATTGGATTGCGGCGGAGCATTCTACAGCCCTCATACCATACTACCTTTGCCGAAACTGAGGTAGGCATCACCAAAAGACAACATCTTTCAATGTGGCCGATAAGGCGCTAGACTCAAAAAACACAGTAACAAAATTTGTAAAAAAATTGAATTTTAATGATTCGTATAAATTAAACACGATCCATAAATAAAGCAATCATAAGAAATGAGTAGAGTTTATGTAGATCTTCTGGGCTGTTGACGGCAGCACCGAGTACGATAGCCTTTTATATAGACAGTTTTCGGCATGCACGGAGTAACGCTACCTGGAGACCGGTTGACATTTGTTTTACACTTTGCTGCATTGAATTTTCATAGCTGATACATGATAATCCTGAGTTTTTGTGGTTTTTCAAAGTCTTTCCGAAAAGTGCCGAGTTCAACGACGTGATATATGACTCATGCATGGCGTTGACAATTCATTCGCTAGGACTTCGTCTACATAAGTAGTTAACAAAGGAGCAGGCGGGGACTGTGTTGCCTAGCGACTATACCTGTAGAGGGCATAGGAAGTCACTGTAGCGAAGGATCTCGTTGTTAGAAGGATGTTTATACTCACAAACTGGCCATGTGGACAAAACTTCAGTCTCGAACGGGACTCGACCCTACTTGTCTTTTATGGATACCGTGCTCTTATCCCTTACGCTACCGAACCCCGCTTGCCCTCGCCTTCTTCATGGTTTAAATGACATAGCTTATCAGCAATCATACGTACAACATGTTGAACCGGTTGGCCAATATCAGCACTGAACTGTTGAGCTGGTTGATCTTTATACTGTCACTCGAAGTTGCACTTGACCTAGTTTCGACAAGATGACCCAGATGGCGTCTCTTGACTCATGACCAATTTCTTTAATTGTTATGATTCTGGAGAGCACCTGATTGAAGTGGATCAAAATGAAAATTTGAATACTAACATCGTGTTAAGGAGCTGTTATCAACATGACAAAAAGCTGTTTATTATGCGATGTGAATGGAAAATAATGGGGTGGCCACTTTGAGATTTATGATTAAACACTGCCTACAAAATAAAAATGCAAACACTAATGGACCTTTTTGATTCCAATTTGATGCTGACACATCGTTTTCATCCAACTAAAGTTTTGAATAACAAATACCTTTGCCTTTTTACTAAGGCCATCTTTGAAAAAAAAATTGTTTAAAATAAGAACAATGAACGAAATAGCTGTTCCATCATCCCTGAGCATTCATAGATAAGTACGAAATCCATAGAAGGTCATGAAAATCATAATTTTGGATTGAATCCGATTTGCTTAGTCGTTCATTTTACGCTCGGGGTGGTAGATCTAATGTTAGCTCTACCACCGTTATCGAATCGAGCTCAAATTTTCTCGGAGTCATAGCAGCTTGGGCTTTTGCTCTGTTCTCTGAGATATGGGCTATTCCAAGAAGGGCGGTGTGGGCCAGTTACAGTCCACATAAAAATTTCTATCAGAGGCCTCCAATGCACAAGAGTTCTATTTCAGGGAGCCACCCAAGAAGTTACGACCCAACTGGAGAGAGGCGGGCGTTCATTGAGGCCAACTCCAGAAAACTCCTTGTCGCTGGTTAGCACCTATCTTAAATGCAAATTTTCCTAAGTGCATAATCGGTGTACATTATATACCCTACTGAAGCTAGCTAGAATAAACAAAGCAGCTAGCTAGCAACACAACAAAAAAGTCGAAGATAAGGCAATGACTCATCCATTTCCTGACTCATTTCCTGAGGTTTCACAGCGATTTCCTTCCATGTGAACCGGAGAGGAACAGAAATACGAGCTGTGAAAAGTAGTACGGGTGTTAGAGCATGATGTGCACAACAACAGCATGAGAAGTCCCTCAAATTCTTCGTCAGCAAACTTTGCACCCTCATCCTTACCGTCCTCCGATTACAAATCTTCTGTAACTTATTGTAAGATTTTGATTACCACTTCGAATCAACTGCTGTGTAGGCAACTCGGGATACAATAATCAGGCTCGATACGGTCATCATTATTAGGTGTAGTTGCGTATGCCACACTTTTCTGCCGCCATTCTTGAATTCTTCTGTTGAGCCGCGAATTCGTTCTAAATTATTAATCTGATTTTTGGTTTTTTCTCTGTTGATGAGACCACTGAAGATCAAAAAAATGGTTCGTAGTCCCGAAACTGGCTTGACTGTTGCCGCAAGCGTGGAAAGAGAGGTGTTCGTCCTTTTTTTTTCTTCTACTTTCAGTGCTGAATCGGCTTTGTAATGCTCAATTTCATCTTTACTGAAACTTGTTATTTAAGTTTTGTATTCGTAACAATGGCAAATGGTGCGAAGAAAATGCTTCGTCATCAACATCCCTCGAAAGGATTGCTAATGAACTTAAAGAGCTCAAGGTGACTCCTATTTTTCCAATCTCTATGTGAAGGCTATTTAATAAATTACCGAAGATGTTGATGGACTTCTAGGAACAAATAGGAGCTATTTGTGCTGGAGACGTCGATAACATACGAAAATGGCGAATACATACTCAAACAACCCATCCACTATCCGCCGCTCCTAAATTGTTAAGGTAACTGCTATCGAGTAGGACAGCGCAGTGGCCGTGGCTGGCTTCATGGCTTACTTGAAGTTTTCAGGTCATTTGTGCTTTGCTGACATTAATGGATATATTCAGGGAACAGTTTCATTGTAATGCGACCAGCCAGGCCTATTGTAAATTTCTTGAAATTCTTGTACGATATCCTCGCTTACTGCATATACATCCTTCATGTAAATGTCTAAGGTTCGGCCTACTCTGTCAGTATAGTCTTTTCATAATACTAGCTTTGAACAACTCCCGATTAATCAGGTCATTTCACCTTTGCGAAGCACCTGGACACTTCATATCTGTGCTAGATCGCTTCCTCTGCACTTTCTATTCCAAAATGGATTGGTTTTGGGAAGCGAATTCGTGAGTGTTTGTCATACATCGTGCTTTGATTCTTTATTTAACAAGTTAATCGATTGAGTATTTTCTTGACCCACCCAGATTGCTAGCTCCTTCACCCTCCCTCGCTCCCTTGCCTTCCTATACCGCTTATCTTGAGAGTCAGCAACATAGTCCCTTTATATCGACTGGTTGTCCAAAGTTATAGTGTAGGGTAAGAGTCAGTCAATGCTGTTGACTTTTTCGAAAAGGTGTTTCTCCTGTTAAGTTAACTGTCAACATTGGGCGAAGCTTTCTTTACCTTTTTTAAATTTCTACCAGCGTTTTACAAAATTGCTTTCAGTCTCAATCCTCACTATGAGGGAACAAGTGCCTGTGACATGTTGCTTGAAGATGAGATAATATTAGGTCAACCAGAAAGGTGGTGCTTTGGAAAAGATGACAGTGGAGATATCACCAAGGTTTGTCCCGCTCGATATCTCAGCTAAGATCGAGCCAAATGGACTTCATTTCAATATTCAGTGGAACGATGATTATGTTGGTTCGCTTACGTGTAATGGGTGCTTTAATTTGGTGACAGCGGATGGAAGTTTATACACTCAGGTTGGGATCGGTCTTCATATTTTTTCCCGCAAGATTTTCGACAAACAGCTCTCATTGTCATTACCTTGAATTGGAACTTTGTGTAAAAAGCTCACATTCTTGCCAAAACTCCTAAGTGTAAAATGTTTAGGCCTTTGAACAGTGCTACGCAATCTCATTTGCCGTAAAATAATCCTTTCTCTCAACACATTTTCGAATCACTGAAAAATTCGGTTAAGTCGAGGCTTGTTTCAGAGGAAGCTGGTTTCTTTTTCAGTTTTATCATTGTTTCAAGTGTATCGAGTTCAATTAAATCAAGAAGTGGAGGGAATTTCTATGACTACGGTTAGCTCATGAAAAAGTTCTTAATGTGCTCGAACGCTTTAACATTGAAAAAGATTAAATGCGCTCGTTTCGAACAAAAATTGTCCCTTGTTTCTTATACTTGTTAGAAAACCACAAGTCGAGGGTTCAATGTATTACCACTATTTCAGGATTTACCAAGTGAACAGGAGTCGAAAACACTGCCTTTGCTCGAGTCTGAGTTTAGGATCGCTCTCCAGCTCCTTGCTAACGGAGGATCACTTATTGTAAAGGTGCCTATAATGCTTTTCCCTCTACATATTACTCTTTCCTGCTGTACTGATCGTTATAGATTTACACTACATATTTGCCCAAAACCCGTCTTTTAATCAGTAGCATAGCTTCACATTTCGATGATGTCTTTGTATTCAAACCAATGAGCAGCAAAGGGGGAAACAATGAGGTAGTCTAGCATAGCTATTTTGCTTTATCTCATAAAACCCCAAATTTGTAGCATTAAGCGTTACCTCATCTGTATGGGATTCAATCGTTCTGAGTCGAGTAACTGCGATGAGACAACTGGCAGTGGTGTGAGTTTCGTGTGTTCTCTCATTTGGTTTCCAAATACTAGAACAGCCTAATTTTCATCTTGTTCAGGTCCTTCTGAATTGCGAAGCCTACTTTTCGGGTCTGCAGAGTTCGTTTATCAGAGCAAATTTAGATTCATACAATACTATTACAAAGGTGGTTTGCTGATTTTTTTATGCAACTACCGGTAAATTTTCCACTTCCTTTTTTCAAAATAACATCCTTAGGCAGAGGTTGGAAGGTATCGCGATCACGTATTGAGGGAGTTTCACAAACGCGCCCTTACGAATTATATCGGAAACCCATTAAGGTGCGTGTTAGATGTTTCTTCCTATGCGAAGTTCTCCCTGATACTTGGGATTTACAAATGCTTCAGAGTATCTCACCTCAATCAAGAACCACAGGAGCGTCCATGGATCGGCATGTTCGGTCAGAATTATGTTGAAACGCTCCGGCGAATCTGTGACGGGCAGTCAGCGCTGGAGTTTCTCAAAAACTTTGTTGGTTGATTGTTTATCTTTGATTGACTGTTTTTTTTTCATCTTCTCCGCTTATGGTAACCTCATGTTTACCCTGTATTCACAGTATATGGAAAGTTTTTGTCACATTATTCGTCTTTGTTTTCAGCATCAATGTGATGTAATGACCGAGCATGAGAATATTGGCAATGTTGAAGTGGAATTCGCCGAGAACGAGCTCGAGTTCTTCGAGTGGCCGATGCAAGCGCTCCTAGATGTTAAGGTATGAACTTTTCAAATTGCTCCACCCGTTTTCAGTTAGACTCATCAGCAGCTCTGTTCTGCTCTGTTCTCTGTCTTACTTTTTTTGCTCTTTTTTGAAATCCTGCTGATGCATTCAGGTAATAGTGACAGCTCCACGTGTCGCTGAAGTTCTGCATTCACTGTTTGTTCCTCCCGGTCTTCTTCGGTCTTTAAAAATATGGCAGTCTGAGGTAGGCTAACCAACAGATAATAGTTTTCTGATAATTAAACAAATAAGCTAATTTATGGTGTGAATGAAGCTGTACCATACCTCAGTATATAGTGTAATGTTGTTCTCAGCAAGGCTTCCTTGAATATTTCTTTTTTCACCTCTCTTAGCTCTTGTAAGAATCTAAATACGTTTTCAGGAAACCTTTTTCCTTTTGACATTGCTAGCGCTTGACATATCGACGATCTGAGTTCCTTGATCCGATATCACAGTGATATACCAGTTTTAGGGCGCATTTAGTGTACATGTCTAAAAAATCAATTCGTTTCAAAGCTTATCTGTATTTTCTACATAAGATTGGCCAATTCATATTCATTTTTGAGTGAAGTCATTTCTGAAAATGTTCGTATTAATATAAGTGTTTTTCAAGGCTCTGGTTGACCTTTGTTCATCTTCTCCACCGTATGAAGATGGCGGCGGGCGCTATCTTCAGTCTCTTCAGTTTTGTGGAGTTATATCAGTAGATGCATATCAACTGCGATCTCAGAAGGATTGGTGCTATTTGTTGAGCAATCTGCTAGAAGCAGTTCGGGTCAGAATATTGTTCTACTTTTTCGATTGGCATAGCGTGGTAGTATTTTAATGGGTTTTTTTCTTTGATTCCAGGAAGAGAAAATATCGGAGCTGAAGTTGGTTTGGTCTGCGTCATCGATACCACTTGTACTATCGCGTTTTTCCGCATCCGTCATAGCAATGATGTGTGTAATGTTTTTCCAGTTTCGATTTGGAGACCACGATGTGTTAGCTACATTTTCCAAACCGGTTTGTAATTCTTTGCTCTTTTACTCAATACTTTTTTTTGATTACTGATGAATTGCTTTGAACATAGTTTGTGATGCTAAAGATTTTACATTTTCTACTTTTCACACAGCCAATAGTTTGATTGGTGATGAAAATTTCAGAACTACTCAGAAGACATTCCGACCACTTTGGAATCTTATCTCTCTAAGTTGACTCTTGCAGCATCATCGCAAATGGGTGAGTGAATATAGAAAACGTAAAAACTAATCCAAACTTTCTCGATGGATGTGTAGAGCATCTCTTTGTGGATTTATGCCTCCCAGACATTTATTAGGACCATTGTTTCATCTTATTTGGCGACGTAATTTTTTCAATTAAGAGAGGGTCCATTGCTTCGTGCCAACAGCGATGCTGGCCATGTTACATCCCTATCTTCTTGACCTAAATCGTCGTCAGTGGCAAGTGTTACTCTCAGGAATGGACTTGAGCACTGTCGTAGACAAAGATGTGGAGGCATTATGAAAAAGTGCACGTGTATTTGCTAATTTTGTCTGTTTGTTTTCCCTCCTAACAATACAAACAGTATTTGTTATCTCTTATATTTGTTTTAAAGTGTTCTAATGTTGAATTTAAGCCCTTTATGAGCGATGTTTTTATCTGAGCGGGTTCACTATACTGCTTTGCATATTGTTGTTCATTCACAACTTGAAATATAATTATGGTCAAATAAATTGCGCTGTTTTGTGTTGCACTGTTGTTGTATTGGCTAATTGTGAGCGAGTTTATGAAATCCCTTCGAATTAGATGGAATAGGTCCAATTGCAAAGATCCATTTCCCGTAAAGCTGTATATCTCTCTTGATACTGCAGTTTAGAGTTGAAGACTAGAGACCTGAGAACTCAGTCCCCTCGTGGGTTTCATTTTTTGCACTCTTGACCAGTTGACATAACTTTCCAAGGAAAGCTGTTGGAAAAATCTAGTTGTTGCAGTGTTGAAAAATAGTATACAGCTCCAGTTGGGAGAGCTTTCCTATACAAGGATTTCAGAAAATGAGAGATTAGAAGGGAAGTCTTGTGGGTTATCGTATGTTCGCAGATCGTATTTTACTCAAAGAAACCAAAAGATGGTTTGGAGATGGTATAGCGGCAAGTGGTGCCATCATGCATATGCAGATTCTGATCCAGGATCGACATCCGCCCAGACCAACCAGGCTTTCTCGTCCCTACGGGATTGATTGGTACTAGACTCGTTTAGGAGGATAGAAACACTGACTTGTACATCAGCCGGCTACCGAAAGTCCTCGTATAGGTCACACGCGTTCAATACGCCAGTACGATTCTGGACGGAAATCGTGTGGGGTGCGTATCCCTTGTCGGGATTGATTCACGCCCGAAGACCATCATTGATCCTACTTTGTCCCTCAATTGTGGGCAAGGTCCCAAATCACTATTCGGAGGATGGGAACGCTTGCATAACGAGTAATTCCCACCGGAGATCCACAGGCCATCATGTACACATTACGCATTGCCCCTGTTATAATCTGAGTAGAAGTCGAATGCGTGGCGCATCCCAGTAAAAGCCGATGATCATACTGTTGAAGCAGAGATTTCATGTCTGTTTGTTTCCCCGTGATTGTTTCAAAGTGTAACACTCAACAAACTCACAATAAGCTTCATGTAAGTATGCACATTCACTGGCTAATAATAAATAAATACTGAATTTATTATTCTAATATACTAGCTGATAATCCCGCATACTCCTTGATAGAAATATAAGCAATGTATGTAATGTAATGTAATGTATGAACAATGTAATAACAACGAGATGATTATCATGAAAAACTGAAAAAAAAGAAATACACGCAAAAGCTGAGATGCTGATATTGGTTTTGTTTGGAGTATGCGGTGGTAAATAGTTGTAGACAATGATCAACTACGAGATGCTCGGCATATCACTATAATTCAACCAATCGTAAGATGCATGACTACTATTCGTAAAAATTATTTTTAAAATCGACAAAGAAAACGATATCAATAAATATCAGAAGCGTGGCTTCTTTCTTTCACGGGGAGTTGGCGTATTTTTTCTTTTGCTCCCTCATCAACGAATGAGGAGGGCGATTTCGGGGGAAATCTGAAATCAAAATTACACTTTGTTAAACTTTCCACCCATTAACTTTCCTTTTCTTCAGAATGAAACCGTAGATGTTAAAGACGGCCGAACTCCGGTCTTCCCGCCCCTTTTTTTATGAGCGCCGGCAGCGTTCTTTATCATTCTGCGAATCTTCTTACAGGATGTTATCTCATTCGCGCCCACCAAATCGACGACGCGCCCAGCAAATCGCGAAGTATAGTTGTTTGGGTAAGAAAAACAAGGTGAATTTTCAAAGAAGGATCTATCACACTTCTGCTTACCCTCTGATCTATGGAATAAGCAAAAAGAATGCCAACTGTGCGTATGCTTATCAGTGACTATTCGAAATTTCTATTAAGGAGATGTTAACAACTTCAATTTGACTTTTATGAGTTTTGAGCTCCTTCTCTAGAATTGCGTTTAGAGTTCGCGTGTTGACTGCGGATAGCATTAACTTACCTATGGATGAGGCGGTGAATATCGTCGGCATACGGTGCGCGTGACGTTGCCTTCGGCGTCAACCGTCTCAAACTGTTCCTCCAGTGGTAACTCACGCACACGCTCCTCGCTTTCCGTACCGGTAAACGTTACGTGACTCATTACTGGGTCACGTACCTAAAATTGCTTTGTTATGTACGGATGATCATGATTGTATGTCACGTCAATATATTTGGACGGTTTGCAGAGTTAACAGCTTCGTGCTGGGCAAAAGAGAAAAAAAAAAGAAAAGAAAGAAATAAAGAATACCCAAATGAAGGAGGTTCACTTGAGTCAGGTCAATTTGTGTATTCTTCAGTATGCTTTGAAAGACAAAAAAGAGGGGCATTTTTTTTTCCAAACCATAAAAGTGATTCTAATGATGAACACTCCTATGAAATGCCAAATATCTCTTGGTAGTACTGACAGCTTATTTAACGCTGGAAAATTGCTGAAACCACAGTCTTGTTGGGGTCATCATTCATCGACGCATACGGTGACCTGACCTCTCGCGGCAGCTACGATGGCCTCTCTTGGCCTATACCTAGAGGTTTTATTTTCGAGTGTCCCATGAATCCACTAGGTTTCTTCCTTACCCGAACATTTATTCCTATTTTCATTAATCTACTCAAGGTTGTCGTACCCACTTCCTCATGAACTTAGTTACCCTCCAAATAAGCGACCTGAGAATCACCCATTTGAGGAGCATAGGACCTACTGGTGTCGAACTTTTGTGCCTGACCGCGGTGGATCAGCACCTCCCAGGAACCGATCGATTGATCGACCACCCACAAGACCTACCAATGTTCACCGACATTCATTCTTTCATAGACATTGTGAGAAATTGAACACTTCACATTTCTCTCCTTATGTTATATACCTATACTCTTTCATACTCTATATATCTTTAAATATTTATGATATTGATTAATTTATCATTTTCACGAATCTTCCCGATGGATTGTCATATACTGTGCTAATAGTACTGCTCTATTTTCTTACCCGTGTTTCTACTCTGCGTGAGATGGTTTGTACTGTTCCGTCAGGTCTGATTGCTGTCGTTTCGAAAGTGGTCAAGGTGGTCGGATAGTCACGAAGCATCGTGTCCATATCGCCACCAAGTGAGTCTCTATCGTCATCGTCGTGTTCTTGATATGTTCCAACCTTAATAGTGAGTTCTTTGCATTTATAATGTAAATAAGTAGAAAACAACAGAAATGGGAGCATAAATACCCATTGAAAAAAAACAGTTGATTTTTGAGCAGATACTATCCTTTTCGGATTCGAGATAGCACCGAGTGTCTACGACTTATGTGTCTAATCGATTCCATGCTGAGAAGTGAACTGGCGCTATATCACTTATGTACAGTGTTCACACTTGGCGCCTATGGAAGGCGGCGAACCAATTAGATAAGTATTGATCGGGCGAGCGCGTGCCCCCTTACGTGTTGAGACCCGTTACGTACCAACACGTAAAGGCGCACCACTGCAGGGCAGTTAACTAATCGATATGCATCTATTACATTTCATGATTTTGCGATGACGCAAGTCGTGAACATTGTTTTGAATCGTCATTGTCGTCTGCACTTTTGCGAGATTCAATCAATAACTATCTGAATCATTACAGCTCGATCGGCAAACTTCTGAACTCATCTGAATTCGGTTTTTTCTCTTAATCAGTCCTTTTTGAATGCATTACTGCAGAATTGGCTGGGTTTTTTTCTATTAACTCTGCAGTGGTTCATCCTCCTTCACAACTTTTTTATTCAATTGTCAGGCTCTCATTCTAAAAGGAGCAAATGCATGACTTTTACAAAGCTCTATGTGTTACTACTCATTTGACATTATCGAGACGCTTCAAAGTCTCAGCGATTCTCTCATCAATTCTTGGCCATTTTAATTTCCTCCCACTCTCTTTTTGTTTTTTTTTTTCTTCATTTCCTCCGAGTCTTTTTTCGTTTTTTGCAGCCATCAGCTGATCTGATTTACTTCTTATATTTTATTTTCGAAAAATGTCTACTTACGGTATCTCCGCTGAGTAATGCTTGGGTATCTTGACTTGTCATAATATCCTGACTAGCACCCTCAAGTAACGAATCTCGTTCGTGAGGAATATTTTCCAATGAATCTCTTTCACTTTCTCCCAAACGGGTAATCACCTGAAAATGCCGTTTATCAGTTCAACAGAATTTTTACGTAAAAAATCGACTGAAAATTATCAGTCTGAGCCACTAAGACATGTGATAAGGGCAGCGGTACAATATATGTGTTTAATTTTACATGATTTGATAGCTACTACTGATTTGTTTACGGTAAAAATATATTCCCCTCCTCTTGTTATCCTCTTGTTAATTTGAGGCAAATTCATTTGGATCCGTCCCAAAAAGTTACTGTGGTCAGCGCTTTACTACGTACATCGAACTCCCTGGTATACCGTTAGGGTATGGCACCAAAACGCAGCATAACCGAAATCAGAGAATGTTGAATAAAGGTTTTCTATGTAGTGCCATGAAACGGCCTCAACTTCTTACAGTGAAGTCGGCAGCAGTGGTTCTTAGGGTTAGCCATATAAAAACACCTAGGGAACCGATTTGCAACCATTTATTAGGTGGTTCATTATGACAATAAGTACGGTGACCAGCAGTTGCTAATACCTACATGGTCCATATACTAAAAGCTTTGACCGCTTCGCAGCCGCGCGCTCGATGCCCGCATGATGCGGCCAGTAGCGGTCATTGTTTGTGTGTATCGGAGTTCGGGAACCCGCCATGAACCTTTTTAATTCTAATCGTCCTTTTCTCTACTATAAATCGTTCTTGAGCTTTCAGCTAATTACTGTACATAGTTTCCTGAGGTATGCCAGATTAATAGTGAAGGCGTGAAACGTCATTTTATCTTCAAGCTACACAGAAAGATAAAGCCCACCTCGTATTCTGCAAGTGAAGATGTATCACTGTCTCTTTGAGTTTGTGTTTCGATCCGTTCATATGAGGGTTCAAGAGAATCGGTGCTAGTCTCCAAAATTGGCAAGCTGGACACCGGTATTGGTTCACGTTCCAACGAATCTACCGGTGATGCAATAGGTGTTGCTGCTCGTAAATCTTCTTCGTCAATTGGTCTTGTTTTCACCTCTGTCTCCTAAACACAGTAGGTTGATCGACGTCCATATTTGAATAGAATTTAGTAAATCACAGAAAAAATTCACATAAAATATATAAACAATAAACAAGCAAACAAAAATTGCACCTTAATTAATTATCTGTAAATTTCTAACATTTTTAAATATTGTTGCTACAAGTAAAATAAATGAGGCCACCGACTTGACTCCATTTCATCTAAAGCTCAACTCAAGATCCCAATGTGTGTGTGTGTGTGTGGGTGTGTGTGGTTCCTTCTTTCGTTGATTCCCCACGCCTGCTTCAAGGGAAACTGGACAGGTACTAAAAGGCGTGATTCCAAAAGTATGTTCACCCATCATATTTCGGATCAATGCCCACCTGAGACAAGCATGTTGTTCATCGCTATTGGACACTTACTTAGTACCAGGGTCGTCTCGGAGAGTACCGGTCAGTGAAGTATTCGTTTTCACTTTTTCGAACATAACTTCCTCAAAACTCAAGCTTTGTGCAAGAAACTCAAACAGTAGAAAACTTAGGCAGTTAGTAATATTATACTGCTGTAATGGCCCAGCAGCACATTTCCAAGCAAAACTGGCGCTTTATTTTCAAATCGCCCGCCAACACACATTTCTACCTTCTATAACTAGTGGGTTTTTATATTAAAAATTTCGGGTGGTTCTTAATGTTTTGAGTCACGCCATGCACCCACTACGTTATTAAGGCTATGGCAAGGCATACCGGAATCCGTAACTTGCGGCAAGACCAAGTTGATGCCATAACTCGGAGCCTCCACGCAGGCTTAACATCAAGGCAAGTTTCAGAAATTCAAGGAGTGACAACTAGATGTGTTCAAAGGATTTGGAAGAAATATAAGGACACAGGGTCGGTAGAAGTCAAAAAACACCCAGGAGCAGCGAGAACGACGTCTCGTCTTGTGGACAAGAATATTGTGCGGCTTGCAAGGAACGATCCGCGTCTCACTGCAGCCGAGATTCTTCGCGAAATATCGACGCCCGAAGGACCTAACCCATCTTTGAGCACTGTACAACGTCGACTGAGAGAGGCCGGTTTGTTTGGACGACGTCCAGCAAAGAAACCACTGATTTCCGCTAAGAATCGCAAAGCGCGTCTCGACTGGGCTCAAGCTCACAAGAACTGGACCGTTCGGCAGTGGCGTAAGGTCATCTGGAGCGATGAATCGAAGTTTTTGCTGTTTGGGACGGATGGAATCAAGTTTGTGCGACGTCCTGTCGGTACCAGATACCATCCGAGTTACCAGCTGCCGACCGTGAAGGGTGGTGGAGGTTCGGTGATGGTCCACGGTAGCTTCTGTGGCAAAGGAGTTGGTCCCCTTCATCGGATTGAGGGTAAGATGGATGCGAAGATGTACCTTAATATCATGGAGACTGTGATCTGGCCGTTTTTTCGCAGTACTGCTCGCAGTGGCTTCATTTTCCAACAAGACAACGACCCGAAACACAAATCGAAGCTGCTCACCAAATGGTTCCGCGACAACAACGTCCCTCTGCTGACGTGGCCGTTGCAGCCTCCCGATCTGAATCCCATCGAACATCTATGGGAAAGACTTGAGCACCAAGNCACGAAAAGTTCCTTCAGCTGAAGACAGCATGAGAGAACATCCCACAGGAAGAGATAGACAAACTCATCGAGTCCATGCCACGCCGATGCCAAGCGGTGATTGACGCCAGAGGTAATGCGACAAAGTATTAATGTCGTAGTTGTTATATTGATATTGTACAAGTTGTTCCGTTGAGAAATTGGAAATCCAGAGAGATTAAAGATTTTACAGGTATGATGGTGTTTGGACACAAATTGATGTGAATTCTCTTAAAATATTTTATAATTCACTTAGACAACTGAGAAATTGCTCGCTCATAACATTCGTTGATAGGAATTAACTATGAAAAAATCAGGCGAAAAGATGGACATTCGAGGAAGTTATGTTTGAAAAAGTGAAAACGAATACTTCACTGACCGGTACTGTATTAACTACTCATTGAAACGACACTACGATGTAAGTGGAAGTTGAGTGAGCGGGCATATACCCAAAGCGGTATTGATTAACGAGAAGAACTTTTGTCTACTATTAAGGCTTCAGTAATTATCCTTATCATATTGCAAGGATTCTAAAAGAAAATTCTTTAGGATTGATTCAGAATGCAGTTATTGCTCAAAGTTTCTGACAAAGCTACTCACTGAGTGATCTTCTTCGTCATCATCACGTACGCTCATGTCTTCTACCTCAGATTCCTCACGGATTTCAGGTAACATGGCAGCATCTTCTTGAGGAGATATGTTTGCTGCGAGCTCTTTCTCCAACTTCTCAAATTCAGCCAAAGAGCTAACGGATCCTTCACCTGACCGAAGTTTTCCGGCAGCATACAATTCTATCTCGCTGGCACTGAGACTAGCTTCTCCTCGATTGATGACCACTTGTTCTAGACGCTCAAACTCTTGGAGGCTCGTTAGCGAAACGTTATCGCTCGATACATGTTTATACTTTCCAATTAGAGCAAGAGAATCTGATGGCACTCCAACAGAGGAGTTACCACTACCGTTAACGGATTCTACATCTTCGGGTTCTTCCTCAACTGTTTCCAGTTCACCTTCCACAATTGGAGTGTCTTCCATAAAGGAGCAGATCACGAATCCTTCTTCATTATCACTTGTCTTTTCTTTTGCGGAATCTTCTGAAGACGGTGATTCCGTTATCTGCTCTGGTTCTAGAATCTCTTCGCTTTCTTTGGGTGGAGAAGCACTAGACGAAGTGTCTCTGAAATGAGAACTTGTTCTGTACTGAACACGATTTTGTGGATAGAAAAAACGAACCTTTTCTCTGCAGTACTGCTTCTAGCGGATGTTTTATCTAATGATTCCGATGAACCTGACATTGGCTCATAAGACGATCTGAATTCTTCTGCATCTGCAACAGTCTCGGTATCTCCTTTCTCATGATGTATTACAGTGTCAGCACGGCTTTCTGAAGACATATCCGAATACTGACGAGTGTATGTCTTTTCGCTTTTACTGTCGAGTGGCGTTTCTGCTTTCGGAGATTCCTTTTCTGTTTTCTGCTCATCACCTACCAACTGCTCGCGTTCTTTGTCATCGACCTTTTCTACGAAGACGAAAAATTCTTCATCTTCTTCGACTTGTCGACTTGGAGGTACCGGAGAAACAGGTCGACCTGGGTCCATTTGAGGAGCAAGAAGGATTCCACTTGGACTGGTCGGCAAGGTTGACTCCGATTCCTCCTCCTCCTCTTCAATTGTTACTTGAAGAGGCACGTCTGGAGTAGATCTCGCCGTATCGTCAATACCGAAACGCCGAATAGGGACGACATCGTCGAAATCCTGATTAGCCGTGAATTGGCGGTCAGAGTCAACAGGAGATAATATGGCCAACGGAGTGACGCTGCCATGTCTTTCTTCGGCTTCGCTTAATCGGCTTGTGGCTCCGCTAGCTGCAGTAGTGTATTCTGATTCTTGAGAAGTCCACTCTTGAGCCGAATCGTAGGTGTCCTGAGAAGTTACGCAGGTGTCGTATTGATCATCTTTAGATTGTTCAGTAGCAGTGTGATAAACGTTAGATTCAGAAGTTGAGGTAAGCGTCTTTGCATCTTCTTGATGCTCGAGAGCAGCATTAATAGCTTCGTCTGCAAGACGGGTCGCCGCTTGTTCAATGTCGTGTTCCTCCTCAGGTTCATGCTCGTGTTCAGTCTCGTTGATTACTTCAAGTTGATCGTCTTGGACAGGAACCACTTTCCCCCGACTCTCTTCGGCTAGAATATCTAATTTTTCCTGCAGATCTGATTGGTAGTCTACTTCATGCTCCAACATGACATCATTACTGGATTCCTGTTTTATCACCATGGGAGGTGAATGCGATGGTTGTATGCTTGCATTACTTTCAGCTTCCAAGATTAGCTCTTGGGTCAGCTGATTGGAAAACTCCTCGAGAACTTCACCTTTGTTGTCATAAACCTTCCACTCTTCATCACCAGCAATCGGGAGTTGCTCATCGGGATACGATGATGGCGCTAGTGTTGATTGCTTTTCAGGCGAATCCAACTCATCAGTGTCCCTGAACGTCAGTCTGACAACATTCTCAAGAGCCTCTTCATTAACCATTTGGAGAGGAGGTTCCTTTCGCTCTGCCATGTCATAAGAGCGACTATCTGCATCTTTTTCCACGGGAAGCTCCATTGTGAATGGAGCTTTTACCTCCTCGCCTTCAATTTTTGTTGGCGAAGGCAGAAGACGTCTTTGGCGGTCGGTTACGTAATCTTCTGATTCTATCACTGAAAGCTCTTCGCCTTCCCCTACAGAAAGAGGTTTTTCCGTCTTATATGTAACATCCAATTCCTCCACTGTTGTGAGAATTTTCGCTTCACCTTCCAGAGGTTGAGTACTATCTAGTAACGTCTGTTCAGTCCTCGTTGGCGAGGATATCGGCTGCTTCTGAGTCTCAGTCTCATATTCTTCTGATTCTATCACGAATTGTTCCTCGTCTTTACCTGGAAGAAGACCTTCTTCCTTACCTGGAAGAAGACCTTCTTCCGTCTCATACGTTGCATCCCATTCCTTCACTGTTGTTAGAGTCCTCGCTTCACCTTCTACAGGTTCTGTCCCCTCCAGTAAAATCGGTTCAGTCTTCGTTGGCGAGGATATCGGCTGCTTCTGAGTCTCAGCCTCATATTCTTCTGATTCTATCACGAATTGTTCCTCGTCTTTACCTGGAAGAAGACTTTCTTCCGTCTCATACGCTGCATCCAATTCCTTCACTGTTGTTAGAGTTCTCGCTTCAACTTCCACAGGTTGTGTTCCCTCCAATAAAGTCAGCTCAGTCTTCGTTGGCGAGGATATCGGCTGCCTCTGAGTCTCAGCCTCATATTCTTTTGATTCTATCACAAATTGTTCCTCCCCTTTATCTGGAAGAAGACTTCTGTCGGTCTCATATCTTGCATCCAATTCCTTCACTGTTGTTAGAGTTCTCGCTTCACCTTCCACAGGTTGTCTCTCTTCCAATATAGTCTGTTCAGTCTTCGTTGGCGAGGATATTGGCTGCTTCTGAGTCTCAGCCTCATATTCTTCTGATTCTATCACGAATTGTTCCTCGTCTTTACCTGGAAGAAGACTTTCTTCCGTCTCATACGCTGCATCCCATGCCTTCACTGTTGTTAGAGTTCTCGCTTCACCTTCCACAGGTTGTGTTCCCTCCAATAAAGTCAGCTCAGTCTTCGTCGGTGAGGATATTGGCTGCTTCTGTGTCTCAGCCTCATATTCTTCTGATTCAATCACGAATTGTTCCTTATCTTCACCTGGAAGAAGACTTTCTTCCGTCTCATACGCTGCATCCCATTCCTTCACTGTTGTTAGAGTTCTCGCTTCACCTTCCACAGGTTGTGTTCCCTCCAGTAAAGTCAGTTCGGTCTTCGTTGGCGAGGATATTGGCTGCTTCTGAGTCTCAGTCTCATATTCTTCTGATTCTATCACGAA